AGAAACTGGGTTCTTAAAAAGTCTGGCCTCCTCAGCTTCTCTCGCTTCCTCTCTTTCCATGTGATATCTCTGCACATGTCCATTCCTCTTCCACTTTCCACCATGAGTAGAAGCAACATGAGGCCTTCACCAGATGCAGCTGCCCAACCTTGAACTTTCCAACCACTAGAATCATGAGCCAATGGAACCCCTTTCCTTTGTAAATTACCCAGCCTCAGGTATTCTGTTATAGTAAAACTAAACAACCTAAGTAAGACAATACCCAATTCTGCCAGATACATGACTCAGCTGGGCAAGAGACTGTAGAAGATGCCCTGGATTCTTTTCAATTGACTGTGGTACAGCAAGGTGCTGCAGAGACCGCTGCTAGTGGCTCACACCTGCAATCTTCTTAACAAGATTATTCTTGAGTGATAGGAGCCAATTCAACTGGTGTGCATCTCCCTTGCCCTGGGACATTCTATAACTAAAGGCTGCCTAGTGTGAGGCTATAAAAGCCCAGCTTCCTGGCCTCTAGGTAGGGCAAATTCTGGTGCAAATTATACTGCAGAACTCCTCTGCCATCATCAGAATGAGGCTGGATCTCACCTGAAACCACATCCTTTCTTAGTTTCCTCCTTCCCCTCACCCGCTTAAAGGTTCCTTCTAAAGGCACGTCCTTAATAAACAAATAACCTTTCACCTGAAGCTCTACCTTGGGCTCTGTTTCTAGGAACTCTGACCCAAGACACAGATTAAGAGTGAAATTCCCAGAAGTAATAGAAGGGGAGCATGGGAGTCACTGCTGTGAAAGGAAGTTGGCAAGGCATTGATCATTCTAACACCTTTGTAGTGGAAGTTTTCAATCCAGTGGAAGATGACTCTCCCACTGGTCCAAGCCAAACACCTCCATCACATATGCCTGGTGGGCTTCTACCTCCTAAGGAGACTTGCTCCTTTCCTTTACAAGGCCAGACAGGCTGGACACTTTTCTCCTCTTATCTGTAACTGCTCCATCTATGAACTCTTTCTCCATTAGTGTTTGAATCTATTCCCATTTACAGGAAGACACCATCACGTCCATTCTTCTAGTTACAGCTCCCTGTCCTCCCATTCACATCAGGATTCTCCTACATTAGAGGCCACTACTCCTTTACCTCTCAATTATTCAACCCACATTATGTGGCTTCTGCTCTTGACTATGCCACAAAGTATTTTGTCAAAGTCATAATGACCTTAGTCCTTATGTTTCACGGCCTGTCTGCTGTGTTTGATGTTGCTAACCACTCCCTCCCAATGCATAAAACACAGTGACACATATTCCTTTTGCTTCTTTGGTACCATGTTCACCTGATTTTCTGCCTACTTTCCAGGTGATTTAGAATCATTTTCTTTTGATTGTCCCTTAGATGTCCATACTTTTCTGGTTCTCTTTTCACCTACTGTGTTTTTCTCTGGATTATTTCACCTACTATCTGGCAAATCGATCACTTATAGTTGGATGATGTTCGAAGCTCAATTTTCAGCTCTAAACTCTCATATCCAGTTGCTCTTGGGGCACCACCACTTGAATGTGCCAGAGGCACCATATTGGACCACCACCCTGAACATACAGGCACACATGCCTCCTCCCACACACCCTCACACACTCACATTCACACTACTCCTCTTCCTCTTCTGTTCCCTATTCCAGCAACTGGAGCTACCATCCATCCACTTTCCCAAGGCAAAACCTTTGCAAGCATTCCTGATGCATCTCTTTCCCCTTCAATTAATCAGTCATTACATTCCAAATTCCTTTCAACACTACCTCCAAAATACCTCTTTATTTTTTAACACTATTCCATTTCTTTTCACCTTTGGCTGCCACCAGGCCTGGACTATTTCACACTGCATCTCATCTGGACTCCGGTTCTACCCACATCCAGTCTCATTTCCATATCTAGCCAGAGGGACCATCCTAAATCACAAAGCTGATTATTTCTCTTCCCCACTGAAAAAATATTTCTACTTCCTCTGGGATCAGCTCTTCTACTCACCAAGACAGGACAGATGTCTCCTCCCACAATAACTAAACAGATTTTATCATACTCTATTGTAATGATTTACCATCTGTTCCCGGCAAATAGACCAAAGCTCCTTCCTTTGTTCAATTAGTGGATATTCACTGAAATGTTTCCATGCATAATGCACAGTGCTGTTGATCAAGTGGTGAATAAAACAGTATTGTCTCTGTCACATTAGTAGAACTCCCGTATTTGCCATCCTATTACCCATGCTAGCACAGTTTTGGGCCCAGAGCAGTGGTTTAGTAAGTATTTGCTGAATAAATAAATGATAAAATGAGTGCTGTCTACTGAAGACTAATTAATTACCCCCATCCCCTTTCCAATTTTAGAATAAAACTCAAGGGAACAAATTTTCTAAGAATAATCTTCATGGTAAATATTTACAAAAAGTGTCTTTTTATTTCAAAAGGCAGAGATAAATTATATCTAAATTTTTTCAGATCCAAAGAAGTCTTTAAGCAACTCACATTCCTCCAACGATATTGTGCTGGTAACAAAATTAACGAAATCAGTCAGGCTTCTAAAGAACTTAATGCATACATTGAAGACATTCAACAAAAGCCAATGAAAAAGGAGCAGATTTTATATGAACTTGAGACCACCACCTGTCCCACTGCCAGAACATAATGGTATGTTCTCTGCATGGCAAATGCATCTTCTCCCAAAAGACAGCAACTGTTAGGGGTTGAACTGGGTCCCTTAAAAAGATACATTGAAGTCCTAAGTCCTGGTACCTGTGAATATGACCTTATTTGGAAATGGGGGCTTCGTAGATGTAATCAGCTTAACCTGCTTCCAGGGTTACCGAAAGCAAAGGGGTCCAACTATGGCTGCGGAGGATGTGAACAGCACAGAGGAAGGCAGCCCTTGCAGTTCTTGGGGATGAAACTTACACATGGAGTGAAGGGCTGGTGGGGACATTCCTTTCCACTTCTCAAAACACATCATTTCAAAATGTAGTGGGGGAGCCTTGGGTAGTAGCCCAAGAAATGGAATAGTGTTAAAAAGTAAAGAGCTATTTTGGAGGTAGCATTTTCTGAAGCTACAACAGTGTACAAAGTGTAGTCTTGACTGAATCATTCTTCTTTCCCTTTTATTGTGGCAACATATATATAAATACATATATAATGTAAAAGTTACCATCTGGACCTTATTTATTTATTTATGTATTTTTGAGTCAGACTGTCACTCTGTCACCCAGGCTGGAGTGAAGTGCCACAATCACAGTTCACTGTAGCCTTGACTTCCTGGGCTTAGGTGATCCTTATGCCTCAGCCTCTCAAGTAGCTGGAACTACAGGCGTGCCCAGTTAATTTTTTATTTTTTGTAGAGGCAAGGTCTCACTGTGTTGTTCAGGCTGGTCTCAAACTCCTGGGCTCAAGGGGTCCTCCCGCCTTGGCCTCCCAAGGTGCTGGGATTACAGATGTGAGCCACCACGCCTGGCCCTTCTCCCCTTATTCAAACCCTACCAATTACTCCAGGTTCAGTCTAGTCGGTGACACTACTTTGAAGCCTTCATTGACCTTATCAGATCAACAGTAATTTCCCATTTTTATCACCTGTAGTGTTGATTGTTCCATTCGTTATCCTTCCCCAAACCACTTTCCACTTTTACTTAGCTGTCTCACCTGAGCACTATTCTGTACCCAATAAGACTGTAAGTTCTAGAAGGCAGAACAGTACCTTGTAGTTTAACCCTTGGCACTTAAACAATACCTTGCTAAACCTACATTTAATAAAATACTAGTTGAATGAGCAAGAAGAACGTAAAAGTATGTTCTCTGCATGGCAAACACATCTTCTCCCAAAAGATAACAATGGTTACAGGTTGAACTGTGTCCCCTAAAAAGATGTTTGATGTTCCCACCTCCAGTACCTGTGAATGCAACCTTATTTGAAAATAGAATCTTTGCAGATGTAATTAGGTTAAGATGAAGTCATTAGGATACGTTCTAATCCAATATGACTAGCGTTCTTCTGAGAAGAGGAAAATTTGATTGCAAATACACAGAGGGACGACAGCCACGTGAAGTTGGAGGCAGAGACTGGAGTGATGCTGCCATAAACCAAGAAACGCCTGGAGCTTCCAGAAGCTGGAAGAGGCAAGGAAGGATCCTTCCGAGATGCTTAGAAGTGAGCCTGACCCTGACAACACCTTGATTTGGGACTTCGAGCCTTTGGAATTCTGAGACAATAAATTTCTGTTGTTTTAAGCTACCCAGTGTGTGGTGCCTTGTTATGGCATCCCAAGGAAACTAATGTGGCCACGGAATGAAACTATCACAGCCATATAGGCAGAGTCTAGTGACCTGGTTCTCTTATCCTTGCTGGACCCAGGAATAATACTGGGTATCTGCGGTAACTAACATGAACTAAATTCACAATGGACAGGGTCCCTGCATAGGTTCTGCTGTGTTGAAATGGAGAATGCGTACGTGCTTGAGCGAAGCCTGCTTCCTCAAAGAATGTTCACTGGCCCACCTCAGCCATACCCTTGAACATTGCAAAGGTGTCTGTTATTCATACCACTCCACTTTGAAGGGCTCCCCTTTTGAAGAGTACACCCGAAGCCAAAGGATGAAAGACTTTAACCCTTCAAACTCTCAAACAAAATTTCTACTTATTTTACTTTCCCTAGCACACTTTACTTTAGTATCCCAATCAAGGTAAATTCAAGTAAAGCTTTCAATGAATGATTTTTAATAAGAAGCTGAGAGAGCAAAACACTTTTCCTGGCCATATTCCAGACGTACCAGATGTTATCATGTTTCATTTGATTCCCATTTGCCTACTGTGCTCTTATCACTTTCTTTCTCAGCCTATGATTTATGATATAATATACCAAAGATGCCTAGAGGCACAGCCATGGTGTTAGCTGAGTACAGTCAGACTATCCCAGCTCAGGGAAATAACTGCTCTGCTCACCCTCTGCCACCCGGCAGCCCCGCCCACAGGAGAAGGGCCCAGACTTACAGCTTTGGCGGGAGCATAGTGTGTTGGTGAGGCCGGTGGGGGCCGGGCCGGACTCTGGAAGGAGGACGGGCAGAATCTCTGGCCTGTGTCCGGAGGAGAAGTGGAGGCATAGATACGGTTTTCTAATCGCTCAGGTTCGTGCTTATAGGATTCGAGAGGAAACGTGTGCTGCTTGGTCACTTGGGTAGGTGTTGATGGAGAGGAGGAGAGGCCTGCAGGAAGAACACCAGAGAGCTGTTAGAAGTCTGGCCATGGCTGTGGGGTGCGATGTCTCATGCTTGTAATCCCAGCACTCTGGGAGGCTGAGGTAGGAGGATTACTTGAGGCCATGAGTTGGAGAAGTCTCACCACGGTTAAGGGAAGCAGAGAGAGGCTCCCACACTTTCCAGTGTCAAAATTCTCAAATGGTGAAGATCTAAATTATTAAATTCTAAATAGCGGAAAAAAGCTTTAAACACCCATTTCTAGACTCAGAATCAGATGTGGCTAGAAATGCTCTCCATATCCACCTTGGGTTGTAGGGGTGTTTGCACAGTCAGGAGTTATCTGGGTGGAGATTTTTTACACACACACACACACACACACACACACACACACACACACACACACTCCAGATGCTGCTTTTCTCCATTTGGTCAAATACCGTTTGATTTCCTCTCCTAGCCTCCCCAACACAGTGCCAAGATCAAGTGCAATGGTGCTTTATTTACTGAGGTAAGACATAAAGAAGTTCACTATGCAGCAGAGACACAGGTCAATGATGCAGAAGCTGCATGACCACGTATGTGAAAAACTAGGAGAGATGTGCTGTTACTGTCAAAATGTGCTATGTGAATATCCCTATGGTAAATTGCCAGTAGTGAGACTTCACTACAAAGATAAAAGCCAGAGACGCCTTCAGGCAAGGGGTGGAACTGGAAAGGAGGCTCAAAAATGAAGCAGATTTAGATGCATAGGAAGAGAGAGGGGACAAAGGTAGGAGGGGCCAGGTATCAGTGGAGAATTGCAGGGATACTGGGGACATGAGTCCGCTGGGAGTGAGAGGTTGTCCACTTTGACGGGCTTGTGCAATCCTGGAGGTGTGTCTAGGGTAGGCAGCCATTGCTTGTATCCAGCTGATGATGCTGGAAGGTCACTATTGTGGGTCAGATCATGCCTCCCCCAAAGATGTCTTCAAGTCCTAACCCCTAGAACCTGTGAATGTGACCTTATTTGGAAATAGGGTCTTTGAAAATTAACCAAGCTAAGAAGAGGTTTAGCTGGATTAGGGTGGGCCTAATCCAATTTGACTAGTGTCCTTATAAGAGCAGGAGAAGAAACAGACTGACACACTCAGAGAGAGGCCCATGTGATGACCGAGGCTCAGATTGCATTGATGCATCGGCAAGTCAAGGACAGCTGAGGATTGCTGGCAACACCAGAAGCTCAGGAGATGCAAAGAATCCCCCACTACAGGTTTATGAGGGAGCGTGGCTCTGTTGACACCTTGAATTTTGAACTCCTGGCCTCCAGACCTGGGGGAGAACACATTTCTGTTGCTTTAAGCCACCGTGTCTGTGGCACTTTGTGATAGCAACCCGAGGAGACTAATACCATAATGTGATCCGACACTGTTTTTCGAGAGAAGCAGAATCTGGATTTGGGTCTGATATCTCACATCTTACAGGCAAGTAAATAAAATTTTTAAATACATTTTGAATTATGCAAGTCAAACCAAAGATATCAGTGGATGTGGCCTAAGGACTGCCGCTTCTGACCTGGGCAAGGCTGGATCAGCTACAGAGCCCGTCGCCTGGCTCTTCCCTTACCACACCCCTCTGCCCCTCCAGCCTCCTCCTCAGGCCCTGAGATACACGTGCCTCCTTCTGCTCCATGCTGCCTTCTTGAGAACAGCTCTCACTCCTCAGGTGTTGATTCATCTAACCTCCCTCCCCTCACTCTAAAGCACGTTCATCCACCCTGTATGTTACCGTTAACGACAAACTGTTTAACATGCAAACCAAATATAAAACTAAGTCAATCTCCTCTTTCCAAGATTCACCACCTGTCCTTGGGCCAGGGGTCCTGCCCACATCCTTTGGGTCCTGCAGCACCCAGCACTGCCCTGGAGGGAAGAACTCTGGCAAATACCTGCTGCCAGCAGGCTCAGGGAGAGAAAGAGATGGGGTGGGGAAGGCTCCAGGTCATAGCGAATCGTTTCTCCCTCTCCATGCCGGAGTGCAGGGCATATGTTTTAGGGGGTGAGGGAGGTCTAGGAAGTCGCCTATTAAAGGAAGGGCATACTTTTCCAGGGAGCCCCTTCACAACCTAGAGTGATGCCAAGTGGTAATCCTGGCTGGAAGCCCTGGGCTGATGCTCTAGGCAGAAGCAGGAGGAGACGGAAAGCTCTATCACCCATGTTTTCATAGGACTCAAAGCAAAAAAAGGCACCTAACAACAGAGCTCCCGACTCTTTTTTTTTTTTGAGTCGGTGTCTCACTTTGTCACCCAGGCTGGAGTGCAGTGGTATGTTGCTCACGGCCACGGCAACCTCAACCTGCTGGGCTCATGCGATCCTTCCATCTCGGTCTTCCAAGGAGCTGGAACTGTAGGTGTGAACCACCACGCCCAGCTAATTTTTGATATATTGTAGAGATCGGGTGTCGCCATGTTGCCCAGGCTGGTCTCAAACTTGCAGGCTCAGGCAATCCTCATGCCTCTGTCTCCCAAAGTGCTGGGATTACAGGTGTGAGCCACCACGCCTGGCCACTCTAAACTCTTTTAAAAAATAAAAGATTTTCCTCAAAGGTCTTGAGAAGCAAGTTCTGCTTTGAGGGGGGATTGGGGAGGAGGGAGAGGGAGGAGGAAGAGTAGGGAGGATCTGATGTGAGGTAGCAGATCTTCAGAAAGAGATGAGCTGGTCCAGCAGGCAGGGCCACAAAGGGGCTGCCCAGCCCAGCCTGGCTCTTCTCTGGGCCAGGCTCCAGCTGCGTGGCAATGAGGAATGGAGAACCACCCAAGGCCTGGGGAGGTGTGCTGGGAACCAGAGCAAGAAAGCCTCTTGTGCCATTTGGTTTGCAGAGGAGGGTGCTACCATAGAACCCAGGGGTAGGGTGGTAGCATGTCCTTCTTCAGTGGTTCTTACAGCAGGAGTCCTCAGGAGGGGACCCGACCTGATTCCCATAGCACACCTAGGGCTGGCTAGCTCCCTTGTGAGAGTCAAGAGGAAATGTTCTCATCCACCTCTCCCAGCCTCTCCCTTCACCGGACACAGATCTCCCCAGAGGTGTTACCCACCAGCACATGCAAGCAACCTGATGGGGAGGAACAGAATAGGATGTGGTTGGGGGCGTTTTAGTCTTAGAAACCTGTGCCACCCCCCACATCCTAATAGACTGTGACAGCCCCTCAACAAATCCCTCTTGGGGCCTGGGGTCTTCATGTGTACAGGGTGTGGCCTGTCACCCTCCTTAGCCTGACAATGGTTGAGAAGCTTTGATATCCACCCCAGTTCAGGGCACTCTCGAAGTCATCCATTCCACCTGTGCCTTCATTCCCTGGCCCAGCCCAGACCTTCTGGCCCAAACCCTGCCCACCTGGGCATAGGCAAAGTCCCAGAGGAAAGCTGTACCTCTGCAGATGCATTTTGGTGGGCTTATGGAAACTATACATGCGCATCTTCCTGGACCCCACAGTTCCGTTTCTGAGACTTCTTTCCATAGACATATTTGTGCAATTGCTAAGTGGTGAGGGTATGGGGTTATTTCTTTCATTCTTTTTTTTTTTTTTTTGAGTTGGAGTCTCACTCTGTCACCCAGACTGGAGTGCAGTGGCCGCTCCCAGTCACCGCAGCCTCGACCTGCTGGGCTCCGGCGATCCTTCCACCTCAGCCTTCCACGTAACTGGAACTACAGGTGCGTGCTACCACGCCCGGCTAATTTTTTTTTTATTGTAGAGATGAGGTCTTGCCAAGTTGCCCACGCGGGTCTTGAACCCACGGCCTCAGGCAATCCACTCACCTCAGCCTCCCAAAGCGCGGGATTACAGGCTGAGCCACCGAGCCCGGCGGGGTTATTTATTTCTGTGGTGATTTTTTTTCTGAGTTGGATTCTCACTTTGTCACTGTGGCTGGAGTGCAGTGGCAAGCTCATGGCCACCGCAGCCTCAATCTGCTGGGCTCAGGCGATCCTTCCATCTCAGCCTTCCAAGTCTGGAACTATAGGTACACACTATCACACCCAGTTAATTTTTTGATTTATTGTAGAGAAAAGGTCTTGCTATGTTGCCAGTCTGGTCTTGCCTTCCAAAGTGCTGGAATTACAGGCTTGAGCCACTGCACCCGGCCTCTGTGGTGCTTTTAAAAGCAGAGCCTGGAGACACAGATGTTCATCAAGAAGAGGTTAAATAAATCATGGCACATCTGCACAGGCAGCCCCTGTGATCTCCCATGGGAACATGACAAGCCTCCTCGCTCTTTTCATCTCCAAGACAGAGCGGTAAGTGAAAAAGCCACAGAGCCATCTGTATAGAATGATGCCATTTGGAGTTTCAAAAAAGGGAAAGAGAGTATCTATGTTTTGCCTGTCTGATTATGACTAGAGTATCTCTAGAAGGATCTGGAAACATTGTCTGTCTCCAGGGAAGGAAACAGCTGGCAGGGAAGACTTTCTTCATCACACACTTGGATTTTTCAAGATTTATATTGTGGGAATGTATTATTTATTCAGAAAATTATTATTATTATTATTTTAGAGATGAGGTCTTACTATATTGCCTAGACTGGCCTCAAACTCTTGGGCTCAAGTAATCTTCTCATCTCGGCCTCCCAAAGTGCTGGGATTACAAATGTGAGCCTCCGTGCCCAGCCAGAAAGTAACTGTTTTCATCTACTGTTCCGCTTTTGAGCCAAGAAGCTGGCTGCTAATACTGTATTTGGATACTTGCCTGCTTCCTTCCTTGATCCCACCTGTCCCACCGCCCAGCTCTGTGGGGTTCTCTCTGTCTCCCACCAGGACCCAAGCCACGACCTGGTCTTCCTGAGCACCCTCTCTCCCTATTTTTACATCTTGGTCTCTCTCTCTCTCTCTCTGAGAAGGTATTCCACTTAGAACATTCTTCAGGGATGAGGCCCAGTGACTGTTGTGTATACAGCTGTTCATAGCTGGTTCATAGGTGGTGAAAACTCCTGGCTGGTTCTTTGGGTACAGAATGTTCATCTTTCAAACAATTTAAA